TAAAAAAAAAAAAAAAGACCTCTGAGAAGAGCAAACCATAAAGATTGCAGAAGATAATATAGGAAAATATCTTCAAGATTTCAGGGGAGGGAAAGATATTTGACATGTAAAAATTACTAGCCATAAAGAAAAAATGATAAATTTAACTACATTAAAATTAACTCTTCTTCAGAAGACACCTTGGAAGAGAAGAAAATGAGTAACAGAGTGGAAAAAGACATTTGTGACACATATAATTGACAAAGAACTGGTACAGAGGATAATATAAAGAACTGTTACTTTTGCACCCCTCCCAGGTTGCCAAAAATAGTAGAAGCCAAACACTATCAAGTGTTGGTGAGGATGGAAAGCAAAGAAAATTCTCATGCACTGCTCATAGTAGTATAAATGGTAAAGCCATTTTGGAAAACTGTTTGGTATTAGCCAGGAAAGTGATGATGCACATACTGCAGAGGAAGGGAAAGTGGAATCTTTTTTTTTTTAAGACTTATTTATTTATTAGAGAGAGAGGGCACAAGTGGGAGGGGCAGAGGGAGAGAGAGAGAGAATCTCAAGCAGACTCCCTGCTGAGCGAGGAGCCCAGTGCGAGGCTTGATCTCGCAACTCTGAGGTCACAACCCGGAGATCACAACCGGAGTCGAAATCAAGATTAGTTGCTCAACCGACTGCGCCACCCAGGCACCCGAGGAAAGTGCAATCTTAAAAATCTTTACCTACACAAAACAAGGTACAAAAGGAGAAATAATCATATATAAGGACAAAATAAAAACTGTAAAATAAGATGGAGGAATTAAACCCAAACATGTCATAAACTGCATTAAGTATAAAATTCAAATTTAAATATTTAAATTTACCAATAAAGAAATATTATCCTATTGGACTTATTAAAAGTATTCAGCTATATGCTACTTACAAGAACATCTAGGGGCCACTTGGGTGGCTCGGTTGGGTAGGCAACTGCCTTTGGCTCAGGTCATGATCCCAGAATCCTGGGATCGAGTCCCATATCGAGCTCTCTGCTCAGCAGGGAGCCTGCTTCTCCCTCTACCTCTGCCTGTCACTCCCCCTGCTTGTGCGCTCTCTCTCTCTCTCTGTCAAATAAATAAATAAAATCTTTATAAAAAAGAACATCTACATGATACAAAGATAATACAAAGATACAAAGTTTTTATCAATAAAAATATGTAGCAGATAAATCAAAACCTCAATGAGATACCACCTCACACCAGTCAGAATGGCTAAAATTAACAAGTCAGGAAA